TGGTCCATCTATCTTCAGTACCAGAAGACCATTGGTCTACCTGCCTCAATATCTTCAGTGTTGTGATTCTCCTATGTCTTAGACAGGTCCTGCTATCTGGGATCATTTAATGCCATTATGATGATAAAACCTGGGACCTCTAAATCATGTGCTGTGCTATTGACTTATCGCCTTGCTCCTTGAAGTATACATGCCCTTGCACCTACAGATATTATTAACAATGACCCAAACTTGTTCCTTACTGCATCGTTCTGAACCAGTGCCAGCGCTTAATAAACAAATGCTCTTTGCTCTTAAGAACAGGGTTCTCAAAAGCTCCTGCAAGGAAGTGAGTGCCCTCTAGTGAGCGAGTCTGGCTGAGAATAATGCAGATCGAATGCAAGGTATACAGTACACTCAAGAGGTGCCTATGGCAGTGAGGACAAAATGAAGTGAGACTTTTCTTTTCATCTCTGTTCTGGCGGGGGGGGGGGAAGGTGGGAAAGAGAAAGCATCGTAACAGGAAACTTTAAGAAATGCTCAGTGTGCTTCAGCATATGTATATACTTTTCTTAGGCGCAACAGAATATAACTTGTGCTAACTCAGTAGGGCATGATAGCCCAAAAGCTTTGTGTTTTGAGTATCACAAGCAACATTCCTTTGACCCTGAGAAAGGTATAACCCTTTAAAGAGGACTGGATAAATTCATGGAGTATAAGGCTAGCCATGGTAGCTGTGTTGTAGCTCCACAGTCAAAAGTGCTGGGATCCACAAATGGAGAGGGGACTGTTGTGCCCAGATCCCGCTTCTCATAGCCATTTGGGATCCACTTAGAAGCCACCTGGGCAATTATGTGGCTAATAATAATAATAATAATAATAATAATAATAATTTATTATTTATACCCCGCCCATCTGGCTGGGTTTCCCCAGCCACTCTGGGCGGCTTCCAACTGAATATTAAAAACAATACAGCATTAGACATTAAAAACTTCCCTAAAGAGGGCTGCCTTCAGTTGTCTTTTAAAAGTAAAATAGTTGTTTATTGCTTTGACATCTGCTGGGAGGGATTTAATATAAATTTAATATAAATAAATTGGCAACCATGAGAACAGGATCCTGGAGTAAACAGGCCTTTTGGCCTGATCTAGCAGGGATCTTCTTATGCTCCTGTGTATAATATCATAATGCAGCTAGCCTTTCATAGTTGATGTCAACGTTTCCTATAACTTGACACCATTAATGATTTGGTTTTGTTCTTTTTACTTCCAGCCACCTCCCCTTGTAGGTTGTCCAGAGGGAATTTAAAGCAAGTGTCACTGGCAAGGTGGGCTACACCTGCTGATCTTCCCTCTTCCACCCAACTATCAAAGCTGCAGGGGCCCTTGTTCTCTTTTGCATCTGGTCACCCTCCTTCCTAGTGCATGGCATTGCTCTCTTTTTCTGCTAAAATGTCTAGCCACCATGCTCCAGTAACCATTTTCTTTTGGCTGTGCGTGTGCTTGTTTGTTTCAGTACTGCTGCCTGTATCCTTGACATTCACTTTTTCCCCTCCTCGGCTGTGGAGCAGGCTCAGCAGCCATCTGTTCCTCATAGTATTTGCCTGGATTCTAATAAAGACACATCAAAGCCATCAGAGGCAGTGACTATGGTCCTTTGGGTGGGGGGTGGCACCTTTTCAGACACAGCCTGAACATAATGTATACAGAGGACTTTAAAAGTTAAGAGATTTATTGTGGCATAAGCTTTCTTGCAACTGAAGCCCACTTCATCGGAGGTGTGAAATGTGGTCTCGAGTTGGTTGATATATGAATATGGATGGTGGGTGGGATGAAAACAGTGAGGCCAAAAGGCCACGATACTTCGAGTCTCTGGTTTGTCTATGCAAAGCTCAGAAATATATGAGATAATGACCATTCACAATAAAAGTCATTATAGTGGCGTTATAACAATATTGGAGCCCATTTTCAGCTGACCTAACATATTTGTCCTGCCACTTTTAACAGATTTGTTGACATCGAGTCATTTCAGAAGTCTAGGACAAGGCATTTCAGTGCAGGAGAGGGGACAAAGCCCAAAATGATGCTGTCAAATACATTCCAAAGTAAATTGCAAGAAATTGGTGTGTTTCCATTCTTCTGTTTGGTTATTCATTTGTTTGATTGTTCATTACATTTATTTCCTTCCTCAAGGCAGTATACATGGTTGGTTCCCTTCTGCACTCCCTCATTTCATCCTCACAAGAACCCTGTGAGATAGGTAAGATGAGAGAAAGTGATTTTCTCAAGGTCACCAGGTGAGCTCCATGGCTGCAGTGGGGATGTGAACCTGAGACTTTTAGGACCAAGACGGACACTCCAACAATTATACCTCATTGTCTCTCTTTTCTAAAGACCATTTCCTTATCTTTTAAAAGGCTTCATAAGAACTATAGTGATGTTATCAAACACAGGCTTTATGGATTTGTACTTTCAGCATCTATGCCATGTGTGAAGATCCATTTAATTGTTTATAACACTCAGGTTATAGAAACTCTGAGCTGGCTGGGATATTAGACAACCTATGGTGAATAATAAAACACAAAGAGAGAGGGCATGCTGTCTTCCCTAAGCACCTCTTCTGCTTGTTGGGGATTGCATTGCTACAAACATTGAAAAGAATCTTTTCATGGGATTATCCTGCTTCGGCCTGAGCACTGAGTTTATTTGCTTCCCACTAATAACTGATCTGAAAATTGTTTCAGGTTCTTTTAACAACATACGTTTTTAGGTGTACACCTAAAAATGTAATGTGCAAATCTGTTTCATATAGAGAGTAACACCTTTGCTTTGTTTTGTTACTCTGTAATGTGTGAAACATCTTTCAGTCCATGGATCAGCTCACATCTCATAGCTCTCAAACACTTTATATTTATGATGGTGGTTGGTTGGTTGGTTGGCTCGCTTGCTTGCTTGCTTGCTTGCTTGCTTGCTTTTCAGGTCGTCTTTTTAAGGGCCTCTGCAAGTACTCTGGGAGTTGTTCAGATTCCTCAGAGTCTGTTGAAATAACAAGAAAACCTGTCTTCTAACAGTGAAAAGCCAGGTGTGTTAGAAGTTTATTAAAATCAGTTAATTCTTACCTGCAAATGTTTTCACCTTGGTTGGTCTTCCTCAGTCCTATTCTCTCACCTTGTATCATACAAAAATCCACATAAAATTTGTTAACCCAGACAGAGAGAATTTTGGAAGATGCTGGGCCACATGAAAATCTGATATATTCTATGCCCTACACACACACACACACACACACATCGCTGTTAATTAACTCACCAAATTGTTCAAAGCCAGTCAACTATCCTCCTGATGCTCCCTTGTTTGGAAATCCCTCCCCACCCCACCCCATCAAACAATTTTGTCTCAATTTTGTAGCAGAAAACTTTTGTGTCTTTTCCTAAGGCTGTATACAAACCATACCTTTTACAGCACATTTAAAGCATGCACACTCCTCCCATAGAATCCTGGGTACTCTAGTTTGCCCCTCACAGAGCTACAATTCCCAGCACCCTTAACAAACTGCAGTTTCGTGTTTCTTGGAGGTGCAATAAATGTATGGATGGGGCTCACATAGGGAACTGGGCATCCTCCTCACCCATACACACACCTAGTGCAGGCATATTGAGCATCATGCTATGCATACTTTCACAAAGAAGACTGTCTGCATGTCTTTGTTTACCTGAGAATATACACACACCTCTGGCATAAAATGGGTGCCTGGCATAAGCATTTATGCTAGGACTGAAGGGGATGCAAAGCTGTGTCATACTACAGGGAAGCAAACTAGATGGTTTTAGTGTCCATGCACCATTCAAGAAGCAGCTGTGAAATTCAGACGGTTCCCACCATGGCTGTTTTGACACCAGAGTGCTAAATCAGAAGCAGGGTGGGATAGTTCTCAAGTGTTTGCCTGCGACAGACAGCCTTTTGGACAAGTGCCTTTGCTGTAGTTTGGACTAGCTTGGATCCACACAGGGGTTGTTCTGGTCCTCAAGTACATTGTGAGTGACAGGCATGTTCAAAAGCTCTGAATTTGGGAGGCAAAGCCCAAATCACTCTCCTTCCCATGCCGAACGAAAGAGGGGTGGATATGTATGGGGAGGGCATGCCACAAAGGTGGCAGCAGCTGGGAAACAATGCTGAAAGCCTGAGGCCACCCAGCCCTCTTCTCCCACAGCACAGGTGGCAAGATGCAGGGTAGAGTCACCCACAGAACCTTGAGGACGGGTGGAGCAGGAAATATATATCAGATACAAGCTTTTTAGCGGGGTCTTTTTCAGAGTGGCACCTCAGCTATGTAGTGGTCTCCCCATACAGACTCACCTTGCACCCCAAATCCTTCTGTATCACCCAGGATTTAAAATTGTGTTTTAAATTCAGACTGTATATTGTTTTATGCTTTTATGTAAATTGTTTTATGTTGTCTCTCTGGGTGGTTTTTGGGTGGATTGTGCTCCTGTCTTTTACTGTTCCTTGTTGGTTTCAATCCCTGCGTGTTGTATTTTTAATATTGCTTCCTCTGTAAGCTTCATTTTGCTTCTAAGCTTAACCCAGGGAATATTTATTCATAGCTATCGATGAGCAGCTGTATAACTAGGACATAACTGATGAACTAATTGATGGGCAGCTACATAACTTTAATGAACATATAAATATGGCTTGGCAAACTGTTGAGCACCAGAGTGACGTTCCCAATGGCATCCCTTCAGCATCTGAGGAACTGATTCACGTCCAACATCCTCCCTCGACGGTGGACGACTCAGGGTCAGAGCCTTCGAAAGCGGGAAGAGATCTATCCTGCCAACATCCACTCCTCACAGCCTGAGGGGAGAAAAATATGACCTCAAGGGTGGAGGTGGCGCGGGAAGGGTGCACCCGTCCCAAGTGGCAGACTGGAAGTACTCGTGTCATGTCCCTTCCCCGCGCCATCCATTTTTACGGGGGAAAAGCTACCTCGGGGTGAAATGGATCCCTGAGTGGGGTGGGGAGATGGGGGGACGGCCGGTGAGTAGTGCATCTGCCCACCCACGCCGGGGAACAAGAGAGTCGTGCGTCGTCTGTTGGCCTCGGGCAGCGTGCGAGAGCCCCCTTCCTCCCCCTCCCCAGAGTGCCAGGAGCTCCTACTGGATGTCGTCGGTGCTGCGTCACATGGAGGCTGGAAGCGATTGGGGAAGGCTCGGCGTTTCTCTTTTTTGACTAATTATAAAGTCGCTCGCTCCACTTCCCCGGGTGCTGACTTTGCTGGAGAGCTCCCGAGCCCACGGAACAGACCAGCCTCGGGAAAGGGAAAGGAGGCAGGCAAGGAGCGGCTCGTCCTCGAAGTTCGCTTCTCCACCATGTAAGATCTGTTGGAGCCTGCCAGCCTCGAGGGAGCTGTACGCAGCGCGGCGTTCAACTCTCGCCCATGCCTTGACTCGCTTGTTTTGTTTTCTCTCTTTCTCCCCGCAGCTCCTCGACAGCCGCACCTGCGCTCTTCTTTTAAAAGAAGGAGGAAAAACCACCGAGCGAGCTTCTCTAAACTTCAGCGGAGCAGCTGCTCCCTTCGGAAGAACGGCCAGGAACCCTCGAGGAGAAGAGGTAAGGGGACGGAGGGAGATGGGCGTCGAGGGACGGGAGGGGATTCCTCCTCAGCCTCTTTCCAGCAGCCCAATGTTCACTCTCGTTTCTACTTAGTGCAGAGGTTAGAAGGTATCAGGTTTCCACCCCCGTTGTCTCCAGGTACGGCTGGAAAGGGCTCCTGCCTGAAATCCTGGCTAGCTTCTGCCAGCCAGGGTGGGCAACACTGAGCTGGATGGAACAGTATGAGGCAGCTTCCTATGTAAATCCGTGGGAATGGGTTGCATGCTTTTGCTGGTGCTGCAAGCTTTGCCGTGAACGTGGATCAAACTCTGTTCTGTCACCAGTGATGTGCTCCCTTTCCTTATGGGACTAACACCACCGTCTTCTTGCCTTCTCTTGACCTGGTGGCCAAGACCAATGCTAGTCAATATCTGTTCTTCCAAACTCCTAGACAAGGTGTCTCAATTTAGATACCTATTTAATAAACCCACTTTACTTGTGCTCTTGTGATATAGCCAACAGTGTGATTAAAGAGTAGCAGAGAGGATCAACATTTCCCCTCCTGCCCAAGGTATGTCAAATGTCATTCTAAACAGCATTAGGAACCATGTATACAGAACCAATGAGTGGTAATTATTCCAGGCTAATTTATTTTTGGAGGAAGGCAGAAACTCATAGTTCTTTTAAATGCTTCTTCATTCATTGATAACTTTCAGGACCCTACATGTTCAAATGAAGCAGCACAATTATAAATCAGGAATGTGGTCTCTGGACTAAGGAATGAGAGATAGGCACTCTAACTTTCTGATGTGCAACATTAACACATTATATTTAAAAGAGCTTCGATAGATTTTAATGCTTTGGTCTTCAGTGTTCTTTCTTGGAAGCATCTGCTTGATTATGAGCAAATTTGTTCACATCCATGGTTGTAGAGGGTGTCATTGGTGTATGATGGTTAGTGCTCTTTCACCAAACTTCCTTGTGCATATCAATTTGCAACGCAATGTATGTGCCTTGAACAGGGAAGCAAGTGATTAAGTTCAATTATTTTTTTTTTCTTTTTGCAGACCATGACATTTCTTCTGAGATGTTATTTCTTGCTCTTCGCTCTTAGCACATGCCTCATCCTTACAGTTCAGGCAGAATGCAGCAAAGACTGTGCATCTTGCACCCACCGATTGGCATATCATGCAGACATCAACCCCCTGGTAAGCAGAATTTAGGCTTGTTTCCGAAGAACCCAATTAATTTATTAGCCATTTAAGAAGCCTATTATTACTCGCATTCCATCTCTATCTATCGCAAGGTGGTGTACAATAATGTACAATATATAATAAATAACAACAACTTTAAAATATTTTAAAACAACACAAAAAACAGAATATGAATTTTGAAAAACCAATATAAAATAGAAATGATGAATTACCATGAAAAGTTCTGCTAGTGCAATCAGATTACAAAACTCAAAATTGTGTGTATCTCTAACACAGATTAGCCACCCCCTAATGCACTTTAGCCATTCTTGAAGGGCTGTTAAATAATATTGCAATGTCGTTTTTTACATATGTTTGTGTGTAATGTGTTGCTTACAATATGTATAAATGAACCTGAGTACAGCTTCAGAGAGAATGAGTTATTCTGGATTAACAATGCACAATACAGGCATGTAATTGTATATGCCCTCAGAGTCATATACCTTTCCTCCAAGGAGCTTAAATATGCGCTTCTTCACCCACTAGCAGAAGCTTGCCTGAAACCTGATCTTAGTGTAACTGAAGATCATATTGAATACTTAATATTTAGAGTTAAATTATCTATGCTTCTTTGATAAATTAATAATAAATAATCACAAAACCTGTCATATTGGTTTATGCTACACTTCTGTACTGTACTTCACTACCAGCTAGTTCAGCTAGTTCAGCACCTTGGAGAACTCCCACATTTCTCTAGCTTGGTTATGTAATTATGGAACTGATGAGCATAGAAAATGAGGCAGAAGGAATAGGATTATTTTCGCTTACATAAAGTATGCAAATTGGGCGTTTGCATTCCTAAAATTATATATGGAATCTATTGTTTTTAAGACCAGCATGAACACTGAAGACTTCAATTCCATTGTTCATTATTGTCTCCCTGTACAATACTTATCCCAGAGTTATGGTGGTGGCATAATTAATACCATTCTTGGGTTTTGTAGCCTCTTCCTGGAGCGGGCTATTTTGATCTGCTGTAAGTCTTTAGGCACCATCAATGAACTAATTGGCCAAGGTGCATATAAACATGATTCAGGAAAATACAGTAGGCACAGTTCAAAAATGGATGGTTTCCTTTTGGAGCCCATTTCAACTTTGCCTTTGATGTTGCTGGAGAATGTATGTCTTCTCTATCAAATATTGCTTGCCTGAATATCCGAAGGTTTATGTGTTGTCTACTTGAGATCCTCAGTGGTACAGATTGTTTGGCGTAATCAGTCTGCATGGGTTCATGTGAACTCATACTGGCATTTGGCACTTCCAACTCTAATGCTCAGATCCATAATAATGCACAACTAGTTCCATTTGCTCATGAGGCATTTGAACTTTGGTGGCTCAAACTGCAATCCATGCCAAATGGCAAGCCAGTTTTGAAATGTATTATTTAATTAGGTATTAAATGTACACCCCACCTTTTCTCCAAGTAGACTAAGGTGGCATGCATAACTTTTTCATCCCATCTCATTTTTACCCCACAGCAGCCCTGGGGGTTGGGTTGGGTTAGGTTAAGATAGGTTAGGTAGTACAGGGTCATTGAGTGAATTGCATGACTGATTGAAAATTTGAACCTGGTTTCCAAGCCTTGCGACAGCCCAAAATGAGATGAGCTTCAAAGGGAGCTTTTGATGTGGCATGTTTCACAGGTTCTGGTCTTCAAAAGTAATATTTTTAGAAGTCCCATGGGGTGCACAAAAGTCCTTCAACTCTCCTAAGTGAACTCTTGATTTCTAGCCAAATCTGCTAGATGGAAACCTGCGGGAGAGCCACAGAGGGAAACATGCTTCTGCCTCTGCACTCGGTCTTGCTGGCATTTGCAAGCCTGGGGCAAAAGAATAGCAGACATTTGTTTATAATACCCATATTCCACACCTGTCCAAAATTTCCTTCACCATCTTTTTGCTGAGGGTGCTAGAGACAGTGGAGATGCAGAACTGTTTTCGAATGTGGAAATTAGGCATCACCAGGGAACTGACCTTTAACAACCCCATGGGGAAAAAATATGAAGTCCCATGTTGCTTCATCTCCATGTACATCAAATGGAATGGAGGTAGTTTGTCTCTTCAAGGTTCAAGAGGGTTCCTGTAATTTTGTTACGCTGTTATTGTTGTGCTTTATTATTTTTTTCTTCGTAACTGCATATATTGCAGGATCGTAACAAGGATCCAGAAACATAGGAACTTGCAACTAAAAGCATTATTTAAGTTCAGGACCCTCGTTATTTTGACTATATAAAGTTGAAATCCTGTACCCCTGGGAATAAGTCCCACTGCATACAGTGTGATTTACTTCTGACTGAGTAAATGTGCATACTAGAACATTAAAGATCCATGTAAAAAAGGTATGGTCACATCAGATCACTTGTTTTAGTACTCACTGGCAACTCTTAACAATGTTTCAGAGCACATTATCTATAAACTGGTGGGCTGTACTGCAAATTAAATACGCCATGTTCTAAATTTGTTTCCATTTTAAGCTGTTAACAGATGACATATTTTGACAAAATGTTTGAGCTGGCATTAGATGAAGTACTTTGTACATGAATAGAATTGGTTTTAACATTTCTTTCTGCTATAGTGTTTGATACCATCACCCTTATTATATAATCCACTATAAATCACCTTCATTAAGACCAGACTAAGGAAATAGAAATGTTAATACGGAATGATATATTACTTGTGTTTGATTTTCACATTGAAATTAATGGGATGTGCTTGAATTTGGGAGGAAGTCAAGTGGCTATTTATTTTAGTTCTGTGTGTATTTGAACCTATGTTGTTTATAACCATTGTATAACTGTTCTGTCTTGCCTGAAAGAAAAAAAGAGGGGGGGAAACCCAAGGAAATTAGACAGCATAAGATAAAAAGGTACCTAGAATTACAACATATAAAGATGTTGTAACTCTTTGAAAAGGAATGGATTTGAAGTGGCTATATGTTTTCCAGATTGTTCATTTATACATGCAAATGACAGCACTATTGGGAACAATAGTAGATGAAGATCGTGTTGATAATGATTAACATTTGTATACCATCCTTCGTCCATAGATCTCAAGACAGTTCATCACATAAAAATTCCAGATAAAAAACACAAAATACATAATCAAAACCAAAACAAACCAATAACCTACCCACCCCATCCTCCCACCCACTGAAAGAGATGTTTACAGTCACTGTTAGGACACCTACTTTATTCCAGATATTCCTATTCAAGCATGAACAGCTTCTATTTTGCAGATGGGGGCGGGCGGCGGCTGAATATTAACTACCCCTGTATCAGAACTGAGGCACAGGCAGCCCTTACACAGTGCCTGCTATGATTTTTTTGGGAAGGGTGTAAAACCTCAGTCTGGGGTCCTCCTTTCCTCTAGATTCCATTTTCAATCCAACCAACAATTTTAATCAGAACCCTCTGAGATATTCATTACCAGCACAAATTATTCGAATTGTAATACTATATCAACACATTGGATAATTTACACTACAAGCATATATTGACTAACATATCAAACAACGTTTTGCAAACCACTGCTGTCACTTCTCAAGCAATGAGCTAGGTGTTCCAACCGTCATGTAAGATATACTAAATGGGGATTCTGAAATTTGTTATCAGTATTAGACATTTTTGTTGCTGTTTAACTTTAATATGGATGTGCTGGCATGATTTTTAAGAAGACTTTTTGGTGCATTGGGCTATTTATATTTGTGCTACAGAGATTTTATTTCTTTCTATGAAGTATCCCTGTTTTAAATTTTGGAAAGCCTTCTGTGAGGAAGTTATACTAAACGGTGTGGTCTAAATATGCAAAATAAAACAAAAAATAATCCTTCCTTTGAATGAATAATGTATGGTTCTGTTGAAAAGATGCTTGCTTCCAATACGGTTGTATGAACTGGCTGGTATAGCAACCCTGTGATCCCCATCCTATGTGAGTACACAGCCAGAATTGCCCAGGGAGGGCCATGCATGCTGGCACGATGATGTGTGTATTTACAGCAACTTAAATTTCAGCAAATGAAGTGGTGTAGAGCCACTGTGTGGAAGTGCTGCTTCGAAAGCCAATCCCTTCACATCAGTGCCTTGTGCCAGCCACATGCTCAGCAGCCCCCACCCCCAAGGTCATGTGTTACCTGCTTTGTTGTTGGCAGATGTTGGCTGAGACCCTACCTGCCCATGGACTGTCTCGCCAGAGTGGTACATGCTCTAGTTATTTCCCGCTTGGACTACTGCAATGCGCTCTATGTGGGGCTACCTTTGAAGGTGACCCGGAAACTGCAATTAATCCAGAATGCGGCGACTAGACTGGTGACTGGGAGCGGCTGCCGGGACCATATAACACCGGTCCTGAGAGATCTGCATTGGCTCCCAGTATGTTTCCGAGCACAATTCAAAGTGTTGATGCTGACCTTTAAAGCCTTAAACAGCCTCAGTCCTGTATACCTGAAGGAGCATCTCCACCCCCATCATTCAGCCTGGACACTGAGATCCAGCGCTGAGGACCTTCTGGCGGTTCCCTCATTGTGAGAAGTGAGGTTCCAGGGAACCAGACAGAGGGCCTTCTTGGTAGTGGCATCCGCCCTGTGGAACGCCCTCCCATCAGATGTCAAGGAAATAAGCAACTATCCTATTTTTAAAAGACATCTGAAGGCAGCCCTGTTTAGGGAAGTTTTTAATATTGAATGCTGTCTTGTTTTTAATATTTGATTGGGAGCCACCCAGAGTGGCTGGAGAAACTCAGCCAGATGGGCAGGGTATAAATAAATTATTATTATTAATTCTGTTAAATATTTTTTAAAAGATGCTCCTGGTTCTAATGTGACTTCTTAATCTAAAGAAATTGAGAGTTGGCCACACAATAAAAGGCATGCCACCCACCCCACCTCATGCTTCTTTGGTGGACAAATGTTTCACCTCTGCACTGAACATGCAAGTACACATTTGACCCTACATTAAGATGCAGATAGCCAGTCTCAGTGTGTACAGCCCACAGACAACTGTAGTTCCATCAACAAATGTAAGAAAAGGGTTAAGGACTTAGACTGCATGTAGTCCACTCACATTTGCTATCTGCTCTCATTAGGTTTGCTGGGCTTCCCTTCTTGTAACAACATTACATATTGCCATTCAATCTCTGGCTCTGTGCCTGTAATACATTTCATCTTTAATAAATAAATGCATTTTGGGGGAAATGTGATGATGCATCTCTTCTTGTCAATGTAAACCGCACCACAATTCTCAAAGCAATGCTAAGCCAACCCAGGTTAATGGTTCCCAGTGAGCTAAGTATTGCAGAGAAAGATAAAAATAGATAGTTGTGACATCCCCCCCCCGCCGCCCAAATATATAGAACTTGGTTTTATATTCTAACATATGGATTTCTAGTATTGCTGCTTTTAACAAGGCAAAAAGAGGTCACAAATATGTTCTTACTTTGTAAATCAAACTATTTTTCAGGCATGTACACTAGAATGTGAAGGAAAGTTGCCCTCTGCCAAGGCCTGGGAAACCTGCAAAGACCTTCTGCAACTGAGTAAACTGGATCTTTCCCAGGAAGGCATTGGTGCCCTAGGGGACAACCCAAAAGAACAGGATGAGAGTCATTTGCTAGCCAAAAAATATGGTGGGTTCATGAAAAGATATGGTGGCTTCATGAAGAAGATGGATGAGCTCTATCATATAGAACCAGAGGAGGAACCTAATGGAGGAGAAATCCTTGCTAAAAGGTATGGAGGCTTTATGAAGAAGGATGCTGAAGATGATGCCTTGGCTAATTCTTCTGATCTGCTGAAGGAGCTTCTTGGAACAGGGGAAAATGCTGAAACTGGGCATTATCGGGATCTGAATGATGGTGAAATCATCAAGAGGTATGGTGGCTTCATGAGGAGCATCAAGCGCAGTCCTGAATCGGAAGATGATGCCAAAGAGCTGCAAAAGAGATATGGTGGCTTCATGAGAAGAGTGGGGAGGCCAGAGTGGTGGCTGGACTACCAGAAACGATATGGTGGATTTCTTAAGCGTTTTGCCGATTCTCTCCTTCCTTCAGATGAAGATGGAGAAAGTTATTCCAAAGAGGTTCCAGAGATGGAAAAAAGATATGGTGGATTTATGAGATTTTAATTATCTTCCATTGTCCTTTTTGTCCCAAATCAAAGACTGCCTCATTGATCATAATTTATTGTCATGTGTTGCTTGTACTGTACAGTTTTTTACTGTCCTAGTTTATAATGCAACCTGCTGTCTGTTATTTCAAGTTCTGTGCTCTTTTAAGTCAACAAATAACTTCTGTAATGACTTCTAATTTGACTGTTGTACTTTTCATGCTAAATCTATTTTAATTACCACATCCATTTCTTTAAAACAGCGCAATTGCTTAGTTGTATATACAATAAATTGTTCATCCTAACTGCATACTATATCCTGAAGTATTTTTTCCCCAGCAATCACTACAATTCATTTCTTTCTGCACATGTGAAATTGAATTTATTCCCCTCTTCTCTCTCTTTCATTTTAATTTTTCAAATTTATTTTAGGAAACTTGAAGTGAATAGTCACTACAACAGGCATAGGCAACCTTTGGTCCTCCAGATGTTTTTGGACTACAGTTCCTATCATCCCTGACCACTGGTCCTGTTAGCTAGGGATCATGGGAGTTGTAGGCCAAAACATCTGGAGGGCCGAAGGTTGCCTATGCCTGTACTAAAACCATCTATGCCACACATACACATTAAAGCTCTAGAGGATGGTCAGTATATAATAATTTGTACACCTTGTTTGCAAACTGAATTAACAGTACACATCCCCATTTTAAGAAAGAAATTATAGTCTCAGAATTTCTGAGGACTTGCTATTTCTCAAATTTAACAACTTTTAACAGAATTCCAAACCTGTATAAATCAATAGGGTTTAAATTAAGAAAAATGACACCAAACTGCATTAGTTTGGTATCTTCCCGTATTGTATGTGTACAGAAATGGCTTTGCTGGATCTTGAGCTGAGGTTGCAGCTGATTACTATTACTCTTTATTAAATTTGTATACTGCCCTTCATCCATAGATCTCAGGGCAGTTCACAGCATAAAAATACGAGATAAAAACACAAAACACATAAGAAAAACAAGACCAAGAACAAAACTAATCAATACCCCCTTTCTCCCACCTGCTCTCACACAAATTTAAAAGGGTATAGGATGTTAATCAGCTCGAGGCCTGGTTAAAGAGGAACATTGTTTCACCTTCTTGGAACTGAATTAGCCTTTTGTCAGAATTATAGGAACTCATAGGAAGCTCAATATCTCTCAAGAACAATCCCAAAATGGATCTGACCTTGTACTGATCTCTACAGTTTGCATTGGCATTTCAAGATTTGCTTTTCTTTGATTTTCTAACTACTTTCTCCATACATGTTCACCTCATATATGAATATCTGTGAGTCAATTTCACAAGCTTATGTTGCTTCAAACAATGGACTAAATTCCATAAGGATGAAGGTCAAGCTAACCTGGTTACTCACTAAAGGACTATCATTGTTGCCATCCTAATTTTGTTTCATACACCCGCATGGCAATCAAATAGCAGTAAAACATATTAGAATTTGTTTCGGAAAGTAGTAGTTCAGGGTCTCTGTAGTGCACAGCAAATGGTGTAATTTACACTATGATTCGTTATGAAATTGGCCCAAGCACAAGGATGAATGTTAAATTTTAAAAAGACAAGACTGTGTATCTACCCCTAATTTTATCCTCACAATGGGTCAGGTAGACTTGACTGAGAGACTGTGATGAGTGGAGAATCACTGGGTGAGCCTCAATGATGAAAGAATTTGAACCTGTGTCTTCCCAGCCTAAGCCCAACACTCAGATCATTCCCCTACATAGGCTCCATTCACTTTCAGCAGGGATGAGGATCCTGTGACCCTGCAGGTGTTGTTGGGCTCCAACTCCCATCAGCCTCAGCTACCATCAGCCAGAAGCCATGGATGATGGGAGTTGCAGCCTAGGAAAATCTGGATTCCTCTTGCCTGCCTTACAGCATCCCAAGCTCACTCTTTTCCTACACAATGAAGACTTCTCTTGCTTAGTTGTTTTCCTCCAGTTTCTTTTCAAGCTTTTCTCCAGCTGCAGGGCATCTGCTGCATAAACTTTTCGTGCATCTCTCTTTTCCCTAACCAGCCCTTTTGAACTGTCAGATCTTATCTCGGTTCCTCCTTTCACAAAGGGCAAAAATCACAGCTTTTTCCATATGTTTGACAAAAGGAGGCATCTCTGAGTGAATGTGGCAGCAGTTGTGGAAAGGTTGCATGTAGTCTATATTCATTTGAAGACATTAGGGAAAATATTTAAAGTGTATAAATCATAGTTATTTTAGGGAAGCTTTTAATATTTGATGAATTATTGTATTTTAATATTTTGCTGGAAGCCACCCAGAGTGGCTGAGGAAACCCAGCCAGATGGGCGTGGTATAAATTATTATTATTATTATTATTATTATTATTATTATTATTATTATTTTATAAGGTTAGAAAACAATCATTTTTTCCTCTCCTCATATTTTTAACTTTAAAAAAAAATGCATATTTGTTTTAGAAGAAAACTCAAGGTAGCTAACATTACAGAATTAAACACATCACAAAAGCATCAGTAGAACAATAATATCCACACTGAAACAGCAATCAATAAAACCTCCACATCTGCTGGAACAAGGTCGCTGATTATGGATGGGTTGCTGATTATCAGAATATAATCAGCAACTCATCACTCAGCGCTTCCTGGAACAACCACACCTTTGCCAAATAGCATACAAATAAGATGATCGTGATCATGATAATAACATTGGCAGTTACGATTCTAATGAAGGGCTAGGGAACTTGTGGCCCTCTGGAATTGTTGGGCTTCAACTATCAACAGCTATAGCCAGCATGGCAAAGGCCAGTGGTGGTGGGAATCATTCCAGTCCAGCAACACCTGGAGGGCTGCATGATCCCTACCCCCTTTTCTAAACTGAAGATGTCCTTTCTCCCAAAAACCTCTGCTCTCAATCAGAATGCATGGGAGGGAATTATGAGACAACCTTGCTGTGAGTTCTGCAAGACTTGGTCCCGATTCTGCTCATTTTCACCTGGCCTGAAAGGGAAGGATTCCGACTGCTCCTGCTGCTCACAGTGCCTAGAGATCAATCAGGATGGTGTTTTGTTTAGGGGTTATTCCTGGAAGCAACTTTTAGTTGTGGAGGAAATGTATTGTTTTTGCTCCTATTTGGATTCTCTTCTTGTATTTCTATGGTTAGGCCTCCGTATGAATTACTAGTGAATTGTTTGATTGTAGCGTATATTTGTTAATATGAGATGTGAGTAGCCTTTAAATATTAGTATGAGAATTTCCGTTTTTGCTGTGTCTTGTATTTGTTAGTGAATTATCTGGAAGCGTTGCTATTTAATGTAAACTTTTCTGATATTGTGAGCCGTTTGCAGCATGGCTTATCATGGAAAAACGGCATACAAATAAACAAATGATGATCATTTAATGAGCACTTCCTGTTGTTTCCTCCAAGGATAAAATGAAACCAAAAATCACACTTAAATTTAAGCCAGTGCCCAGCATTCCATCCCATGCTAGCAGCACTAAAATGGATTTCTATGTAGTTACTGGGACAGTAGTAAGATATCCACACTCTTGATGGTATTCTCGAATGTTTCCCTTGCAGACAATTGGAGGAACATTCCGTTCCCTGAGCAACTCCCATTCTATAAAGACAGGGCCAGCCTAACCATGAGGCAGACTGAGACAGCTGCCTCAGGTGGTGGAATCCAAGGGGCTGTGGTGGCTTCCTGGTTCTAGTGAGATCTAGTGAGAAGGAACCTGCAGAACCCCAGTAAGTGAGGCTTTGACAAGGGGGTGGAAACCTTGCACACAGAGCAGCATCTTCCCACTTCACCTCAGAAGGCAAAACAGGATGGGCCATCCTTGTATAAAGGCTTTCTAAGCAAGAAAAAACATATTAGAAAAATGCACAAATGTATGGCAGCTGTGTGCTTTTGGGTTGTGAATTAGGATCACATACCACTGGAAAGTTCTAAATTTCCATTTTTAAAAGGCTGCATACAGATACAACTATAATGGCAAGCAGGCATTGTAGTAACATGTTTCTGGTCACTATAATTATAAAAAGGGAAAGAAAAAAACCTGCTGTGTACCATTCTCGTGTGTTTTCCTATACTCATATGCTCTTGAAAAGACCCCAGTCCATTTTACATTAGACAATTTGCAGTTGCTATGAGGATGTCAAAGAAGAGTTTGAAGAGAGTAGTCGTGGAAAATCAGAGCATTCTCTTTAGGAAACTTAGATACAAAAAAATCTACTTTGTTTGGAACAAATTTTAATATGGTTAGGCTGCAATCCTATGGGAGTAAGCCCAACTGACCCTTATGGGACTTACTTTTGAATAGACATGTGTAGGATGACATTGTAAGGATTCTACATATGACACTCCAGACTATGTTACTCACCATGACTAGACCAATTGAAATGAATGAACCTAACTTTAATGGGTCTACTCTGAGTAGGACTAGTGCCCAAGTGTGTTGGCAAATATACTAAGCCTTCTTTTTTGTGGTAGGTTTGTGGCTCCATTCCTTCCTGAAGGAGTATGTGATTTTTTCATAAGTCACTCTGAGTTACCTTTTCTTTAAAAACAAACCAATCCACGAATGACTAATGAATTCAATAAATAATAGTAATAAATGAAGGGGATACAATTTGTATGAAACATTAGTTTAGTCTTAATGGATATGTTTATTGAATTCTTTTACCAAACACCAGAAATCATCAGACATGGCCTGTTACTCAGCTCCAGAACAAAGAACAAAACAACTCACCCGAAGAGAGTTTGTGTTGTTGCTCTTCCAATTGAGCAGTTTGATGACTTCTCCATAGATGGGGGAAATTATGTGTATAATAACTAGAAATAAGTAACTTTATAAAAGACATTTTCGTGCTACGATTTTGGAATACAGCCCCCACAAGGTACACAATGTGAATTCTTCAATCCCCAGAACAAAGAGACATACAGCTCATCAAAAACTCGTGTGTAGGGAGTGCAGAATGGTGTGGAATCGTGTTTCT